TATATATACTTGGGGAAAATACTGAAGGCAGGCGGTGCTGAGACTCGTCCACACCTCCTCAGCCCCACCACTGAGGCGAGAAAATGTTGAGAATATGGACATCTAGATGCCCTCACATAACTTTAAAATCTTACTGGTACTCTGTATGGCCTATCAACAATACAATAACACAATTATTTTCTTATTGTTTGAAGGTTCGCATGGCGAAGTATAATAATATATTAATTCTTGCAGTACACCACGTAGATATATATATATTTTCTTAATACAATTTAGGGGGTGAGATAGCACCGTCTCCACCCCTCCCCCTGCATTCGCCCCAGATCTTTACTATCATAACTGTTGTAACTCAAATCATCGATCGACAGGGTATAATAAACAATACAACTTTGAAAGCAATAAACCAAGATTTAATCAACATGTTTCTGTTGTATGACACAGCCATCTTCAGTAAGTAAACTAAAAGAACTAAAAAATTAAACACGCCACGTCAGCTTATATAGTGCCAGTAGTACACGTATGCTTAGCGATACAGATGTTTAACTAATGTTTATTCATAAATATGCCACGTCAGCATTATACTGCTCCCTAACTGCTCAATACACCTGTATCACTAAGCATACTTACACCAAACAACAAGGTGTTTCAGTGAGTCAAGTGAATAACAATAAAAATGAAGAAGGAAGAAAATAAACAAATTGTTGAAATTTATTTGATGATGGTTGTCGTTTTGTTCGTGTCAATTTTATCGTTGAAGTGCCAAGTGACCCAATGTATGCTTGGCCTAGTCTTCAGTGAAAATATGATATAATTATGTATCGAAATGATATATAGGCCTATTTTATTTATTTATTTCATTTGAACTTTATTTAATGAGGATATCTTGTGCATCTCGCCATTAATGGAGAGCTGATATTAAGAGGTCCCCAACAAACAAATATACAATATACATTTTAAAATACATATAAGAAATATGAAATAATGAAATCAAATCAACAGCAATGATAAAAACAATAAAATAATTTTAACAAGTAATAGATCAGCTATTCATGAATTCCTCAGACATTGGGATGATTTCCCTGATGATATCAAACACTCTTTTCTTGTTGACCCTTTCCACATCTTTCTCAATAAACTTAAACAATTTGTTCTTCATAATAATTCTTAATTCACAAAGTATTGGAAATAAGTTTGTTTTACATTTACATTAGAATTATGTTATTTATACCATTTTATGTTTAAATATCTTAATCCTTTAATTATATTTAATTAATTATATATATATATATTTATTTTTTTGCATTTAATTTCTTTAAAGTTAAAATGAATTCTGATCAATGATTACATATTTGTATTCCACTTACTTAGATATTTGCTTTCAGTTTTATTTTATTATACTGACCTTTTTTATTTATAATATTGTATTTATGTTAACCTGGATGAGTGAGGTTCACATACTTTGTGTTATAGTGATTGAGTTCGCTTTTGTGTTCCTGCCAACTCATTCAATTTACTGTACAGTACTTGTATTCTGTATGTATTCCACCATTGTATTGTACTTTTTGTTTTTGGCGAATAAAGAATAAGAATAAGAATAACATTATCATTGGAAAAAAAGATCACAAAAAAGAAAAGAAAAACAGATTTACCTAGGGCCTATATAATATTTTGATTAATTTATACTTTAAGTTTGTTTGTTTGCAAACGATGTGCATTGGCGAAGTTCGTTGGTAAACGGAGTTTATACACATACAGTCTAATTGGAACCTTCACGCCACATCGTACCGCCGTTTTAGGTGTCATCGAACGAGTAGGAAGTCCGGAAAGTCAACAGGTAAGATATTCATGTGCATTACCCGAATCAGCTTCAAAAGAAATGTAGTATTGCTAGTAACCGAGCCGTTCTTCAACATTTATAAGATGAAGAATATATATATATATATATATTTTCTTAGGTGATTGAGTCTAAAGTTGTTCAGTTGTTCTTAAGATCCAATTTCGTGGATGGGCAGTACCTTAGCAATTTTCCATTCCGCGGGACACAGATAGATTCTAAGGGAAGATTGAAAAGATGGGTTAAATAAGGTGAAATAACTTGTCAGATTTTTTAAATAGGTTAATAGGTTGATACCAGTAGACGTTCCAGAATCCATGTGACTGAGCGACTTTAGTACAAAATCATTTGATATTTCTTTAAGTTGAAAGCTTGGAAATAAGATCATAAATGAGGAATGAACAAGGATCAACACTGTTAGGAAAAATCATAGTTTCTAGTTGTTGGGGAATATTAATAAAAATAATCGTTAAAATGTATTAGAGATGGTCTTATTGTCAGTAATTAAGCAATTCTTAACAATGACAGCATTAGGTAAAATTTGCTGATTTATCTATATATATTTAAAATTATGTTTTTTAGCATTTCCTACATAATTCTTAAGAGTATTTTTAAGTTGTCTAAATCGTTTACAGAGTACAGATTGATGTGCAAAAAATCATGGTCACTCATCCCACACTCGGTAACACATGTATGTTAGTTAAAGTTTCAAAAACAACAAAAAGGTTTTTTTTAATCTGGTAGGTTGACATAAAATGACTGGCTTGATCATGATAAACTCTGAATGTGAATGTGACTGCAAGACAAAGGAAACCTTCAATCATTTTGTATTTGATTGTACCAGATTAAATAACATTACAAATTTAATATTTTGCCAACTTAAAGAGGAGCTATACAACACGGATTTACATTATTATTTACATTATTCAAATCAAGCTCCCCTGAACTTAAATGGTGCCTACCATCTTTTCTTTGATGATTTAGAAATCCATTACGAATATCAAATGTTAACAACAAATTATATAAACCCTATTAATTTTATTATTGCAATAAACATTGTAAATTATTTTTAACAACAGCATGGAAAGAACGAAACGAAATATATGATACTTTTATATAGCATGAATAAAATGTTTGATTTTTTTAGATTAAAGTTTATTGATTTAAATAGGCCTATAAAATACTTACTTACTCTTATATATATATATATAATATATATATATATATATGTATATATATATATATATATGTATATATATATATATATGATATTGA